TTCTTCTTTTCAAAAACATCTTAAAATTCTTCATATTTGCTAAGAACACTACTTGACATTTTTCCACCATTACAAATGAGCATAGCATATATAGCAAAAGATAATCTTTCTTTTGCAGCATGCATGAAAGTTCTTACACCTACTAATAAAGGTTTAAATATACTAAAATTATGTACTTTTATTTCATTAATCCAATCTTGGATTATACTACTAAAAAAATTAAGGTTACGAGAAATCCAATCTATTTGAGGGTTATATTTTTCTAGCCACAATAATCCTAAAATAATTGGATTGAAGAGAGATCTTATTATATTAAATACTACAACGGTGTTATGATCTTTAATTGCTACATCTAAAAGAATAGTCTCATGGATAGCATTTCTAGAAGATAACAAACAACCATCTTTAACTTCTACATGTATGGGTTTAATTTTCTTGACTAAAGATATTTTTTGATTTCTTAATAAAATCTTTGTCTATAAAACAAGCTCAAGCTCGTGAATCTAATAAGGCAAAGACTTTGTGATTTTTAGGTCCTACATACATATCTATTGTGAAACAAGGTAAGAGATTTGAAGAGAGAATAAGACCTTTACTGGGTATTGCACATGATTCCAGTCGCATGGTTTCTATTTTAGCTGAAAAAACTTGTTTTTCAATATATTATCTTCTTTGATAATTTTGCTCTTCATTTTGTAATTACGTTGCTTCTTTGAACAATATTGAGAAGTATGCTTAGCTTCTCTATAATATAAACACAAATCTTCTTGGCAACGTCGAGTCTTTTCCTGCTGAGTGAGGGATTTAAAACGTATCAATCAATTTGCATTGGTTTTGGTCTTGATGAATACATTTTAGAAAACTTGGAAGATGTTGCCATTACTTGACTTATTCTTCTCTAGCCAAGTCTTTGTTCTTGATGCCTTTCAAATAATTAATTGTTGCATGGAATAGCTTGAGCAATAAATTGTTCCAAAGATTTTACTTTTGGCATTGTTAATGACAAATTTTTGATGTTATCCTTCAAGCCATATTAAAATTGATTGATAAGTGCTTTATTATTCCAATCCACATCACAAGCAAGGTTTTGGAATTTAGCAGTATATGTTGTAGCTCATTGTGATCTTTGTTGTAAAGATAAGAAATTGGTCTCTGCTACTCATTCTCGATTACTTTCTCCAAATGTAGCAGTAAATACTTCTAAGAATGAATTTAAATCATAAAGAAGTCATGAATCCTTTTCCATCAAGGTGCAAATCAAGAAATAGCAGTTCGAGATAGAAGTGCACCTACGAAGTTGACTTGAGTAAATCCATCTACATATTAGAAAGGGTATAACCTTAAGTAGAGCTTAATTTGTTGTAAAAACCCTCAAAATTTTGATCTTGTTCCATGAAACTTCTCAAACATACTAATTCTTGCTTTTTTTGAGCTTGTAGAACCAAGATCTCTTTAATTTGGTTGTGAGGTTGATCGACTTATTTCCCTCAACTGTACAACTTCTCGACTTCTTCCATAGGTATAGAAGTAGTGCTTCCATGGTAGACATTGGTGATGCATGAAATTTCTGCCCTAAGAATGTTGATAAGCTTGTGAAGATCTACAATAGTTACAAATCTATTCTCACTTCTGCTAGGAATAGCATCCATAATCTTTTCTTTTATAGAAAATTCAAACAAATTCAAAAAGTTAAATTAGAGGAGAATAATTGGCAACCTCTAATAAAAATTTCTACAAAGAAGGATAATCTACTCTCTTTAAGGAAAAGATCAATATTAAAAAACAAGATTTTTTGTTTAAAGGTAGGTAGTCTCCAACCTTTAAAATACAAAAATAGAAGTAGAGTAATCCCCTGACTTCTAAAACAAGGTAGAAACAATATGTTAGCACTTTTGTCAAACTATCAAGGACATGAATTTCAAAGAAAGAAAATCCTCAATACACTCTTATATCACTGAAAAGAATTAGAAAGTCATTCAAAGTTGATATATTATTGAACTAGAATGGCTATTGCCAAGAACAAGAAGACTAGAAAGTCTTGAAATAAGACTAAGGACTAGGAAGGCGTTACCAAGAGTGAAGAAGGCTTCACTCTTACCTCCATATATACTCTTAACTAAGAACTACATGGCGTTGTTCTATAGGACCTCCAAAACATATTGACTTTGCTAGCCACATGTCTTAACAAGCAAGGCAAGTTATCTATGTATGCACAACATAGTTAATTTGTTCTACAAGCTATTATACGGAGTTAACTTTTTCCACAAGCTATCAACATGTGGTTAACTTGTTGACCAAGTTTCTAACCTACAAACACATCTAAAGTCAAAACCACATCTATGAAGCTTCTAAAAAGCTTTTCTAGAAGACTTTATGAAATTAACTTATATTTACCTACCTCTACCTAATCATATAAGTAACTATTGGAATAAATGTATATGTCCGTGATACCAAGATAAGCATGAGGTGTATCTATTCTTGTGTTTCCTTATATTAAACATTTAATTGCCAATATTGGCTCTAATATAATTAATAGAATTTTCAGATTTTTTTCTTAATTAAAAGTTTCACTTAAGATGGCTAATATAAATGATAATTTGTAGTTTTTAATAAAAAAATTAACAAATAATATATAATAATATACAATTATATATATATATATATAAACATCATAAGGACTAATTTTTTAATTGTAGGTATAAATTAGCAAAGAAAAATGAAATATTTAGAATTTCTTGAAATCTAATTTTAACTTTGAAGATTAATTATCATTTTGACAACACATCAAATATTTTTTAAAAAATAAGACAGATAACATTAGAGAGCTAATAAGACTTAATGAGTTTTACATAGACAAGATGACAAATTCTAAAACAAAAATGCCCTTTTGTATTATATCAAAAGAAACTTCGACTTCTTTGGTCATCTTTTTATCAAATTCTCTATTCAAACCATCTTCTAATCTTTTTAAATAAAATAAAAAAGTATATACTTTAAGAACATTGGACCATTGATTAATTATTTTTTCAATAGCCATTCATAAACAATAACACTTCATATAAATTTTCAAAGATCTTTATATGGAAATATCTTAATGTAAAATACAATAACTATCAAAATAATTTAATTTCTATTTATTTATTATGTTATCTTTTATTTTAAAAAATGAAAAAACTATAAACTTGGCTAAAAAATTTATTATCTAGATAATATCTTTTTGAAATATATCCTAGATAATATCTTTTCTTATCTAGATAATATCTTTTTAATAATAAAATAAAAATAAAAACAAAAATAAAAACTATAAACTATAAATTTGGCTAAAAAATCAAATTATGTTTTATTTTTTCTAAAACTTGATTTTACTAAGTCTTACAATAAAGTCTTATAGATATTTTTTTTCAATAATATTCACAAACTTGGATTATATTCTTAATTTAAAAGATGAAAAAAATATTATTCTTTGATAAAACAATATAAGTGCATATAAATAGTAATATGATTAATCTATTGTTTTTTTAAAGATGATTGCAATAAAGTTGTCTTATAATTCCTTATCTATACTTCATAATAAAAGAAATCTTTAAAATTTCAATTTAACGAACAATTTTAGATAAGAGCATTTATAGAATAAAATTAGTAAGATGAAAAGAACAAAGAATACTTAATCAATATGCAAATGATTTTACTTTAACCATAAGATGTAAAGACTTTATATGCAAGATCATAAATGATTTACTAGTAATATAAAAAAATTGCCAAAATCTTGTAAATAGAGATTTAGTTAAACATGAGCTAATGATAATAATATATCCAACTACTACGTACCTATTTTGATCTAACACTTAGTACTAATGATATTGATAATTTCTTTGTAAAAAAGATATATCACAAGTTAGACAATTATTATTTAACAAAAATTGATATATTTGGAAAACCAATCATAGTACTGCAGCCTTTACTATAACCAATGTGGCATAGAATATTTGTTACAAATCCATAGAAATAGAAGGATTTTTTTGGTACAGTTGATAATGGAGAAACCTTGACAGCATTACTTGTAAATCTATGGAGTAGGAAATTCTCAAAATTATTTAGTCCTAGTCACAACAATTGGAAGATTAACGCTCACAATTGGTTCCAAATACCTATTCATACTAATGAAAAAATCTATATAATAAGAAGACAATCAAGAATCCTACACTATAATATACAACTCTCAATCTATTGAATACAATTTTTTAAGCTCTAAATGAAGAAGTACAGCAACAATCAATTGTAATGTCATTTGCTGAACGGAATGGTTTAAATTGCAAGCTTGTAAGCAAGCCATACCGATTCGATTTATAAATCACAAGAATATAGCTTTTGGTGTCTGGATGGCACAATTTGATAGCAATACATTAATACTTTGTCAATTGTACACACCAAAACAATCAAAAGCAATGTTACGTAGATTTTGAAGCCTTCCACACATTAACTACTAAATTTACAAAATTGTTAAGAGACTCTCTCGTACACATCGGAAAGCTATTTAGAATTTGGGGATTTAATGATCATCTTCTCTGTACATTGGTACTGAACAGCTTATTCCCAATTTCCCGAACTTGCTAACGATTGCAATGACTACGAGGGGTTAATTCTACTTTTGTCGGAATAAGAGTACTTAATCTGAATAAGGTACAATAACGGTAAGACACGAAAATTGGTTCATGATTGGGGACTGTCTGTAAATCACAAGTAACCCTCGCAGAGACATTGACTATTTTTTGCCAATTTACAACGTCACACGTTACACATTTTCTCATAGATTCCAAACATTGGCCCATGCAAGGCGAACTACATGCTTTACGAACCACTTCATCACGAATTAATATGAGCAAAGGTAACTTATGTTTGTAGTTTGACTGCCGTTGCATAGTTTCCAACAAACAGAAAAACACAGCACAAATTTATAAGGATAAATAAGTTCCTTAATTTCGGGAAGACGTACATCTAGAAATGCACAAATTAGTACACGGCAATTGAGGCATTACTGTAAAGTATCAATTTGGATTGAAAGTACAACCATGCGCAGCATTGAGAGCACCACGGCATATCATGTCAGTCTTTGTTTCTAATGAGGCCTTCTACCTGCTCACACTACTTACCAGTAGGGTCATTAACTAAGCACTGAAAATATCAACGTGAGAGTGTATAAAAAAGGAAAATGGCCAAAAAAAAAACTCTTAGTATGAAGGATGCTGCAGGATCAAAACTAAATACAACACCTTAACTTAAATGTACACAACCCACGAAAATAAGAGATTTCTGTTTGACAGTTCATCGGGCCAACCAAGAAGAATCTCTCTGGACAGCCACCTCTGATCAAGAAAGAGACAAATTGGCTACCTAATCTTCACCGCAATCATGCATAAATTGCCTGTGACAAAACTTTCACTTCCTTCACCACTTCATCAAGGCTGACCTTAAACTTCGCACTTTCTTCTTCACTCACTCCACCTCTGGGTGGGGCTGGTAGCACTAGCAGGCAACTGGTAGGCCTTTTCGTAGAACCTGCACCACCTAAATCCTGCAGGAGAAATGCTAGTAACGTGAACAACGTCCCAGAAAATTGAAGAAACAGAGAGGCACCAAAAAGATCATTGAGCAATATTGGTACACAAACAGACTCATCCGCATGAAGCAGCTAATGACAGTTCACAATCATTGACATGACGAATAAAAACTTTAACACTGAGACATGTATACTTCCACGAATGTTGGAAATAATCGTATGATGGTTGATTTTATCTTTGGTTTCCAGGCCTAGACTTATGATCCATAAACAACTACTTGAAAACAAAAATGCAAAATGTAAGGGTACAACAGACTCTCACCTCCTTGGAAGGAACATATATATAAGGGATGTTGGCATCCTCGCACAAAATGGGCACGTGAGTTATCACGTCAATGGGTGAGATGTCACCAGCAATGATGACCAGACTGCAAAAGAAATGTGGTCAGGATGTCGGAATTGATCAGCATTCAATTAATGCCAATAAAATTTTAAAAACATAGAAATAAAAGTTAAAGTACGCATTGAGAAAAAAATTAACACCAACCTCACGACCAGCATTCGAAGGCCATTTCTAATTAGGACAAAAAATTGGGCCCACACAGGCATGGGGAAGTGAGTACCCTTTCTGCCCTTTTCTGATTGCCTTAACAACCTCCTTGACTCCCCGTTTCAACTGTTTAGACGATGCAGCTGCACGGAACACGCACCAAACATCCCCGAATCATCAGTGGGCAGACATAATGACGTGCAGTGACAACGAGGAGGCCAGGTTCGCATTTCTAAGCAAGCAGTCAAACCCACTGAGAGTTTTCGAGCGAGCTTCCCGAAGGCAGACGAACATATCACGGAGCCGACACACTGACCCAGTCCTCAACTTTTAAAAAGCAATTTCCTCCAAACCGTTCGGACCACGCTACATCACTCCGGTGTGGAAGAGAGGGCAGAGCATTGCGCAGCGAAAAACCCACCTAGAAAAACACGAGCAGTGAAATACAAAGGAGTGAGAGGGAGAAGAGAACGAGAATACCTTTCTTGACAACCTTGAGGGTCTTCTTGGTGAGCTTCTTGCCGGCGAGGGGTTTAGCGATAGGGGACACAGCGAGACGTTTCCGCTGATCCTTCTCTCTCTGGATGCGGTCGTCTTCGCCATCACTAGCCATGGGGGTAGAAATGTGGGAGGAGAGGTGGAGAGTGAAGGTTTAGGGTTTCAGAAAAGGAAGGCACAAGCATGCGCGCTGCAGTCAGAGCAAGGGCATCACCTACAATCAGCCCCGCCTGGGTTTTTATATCCCCTCCCCTCAACTTCCCCCATGCTCACGGCCCCCCTCCTTCCTGCCTCCTCTTCCACGGCCACACGCTCCGCTCCTCTTCTCCTAACCCTAACTGCTGCGTCGCCGTCGTCGTTTCTGCCCTTACCACCGCGCTCTGCTGGGTCCAGCACGGGTCGGCTGTTTTCACCCGGCCCCTTGTATCCGAGAACGGGTTTGAAGGCCCCGCCCAGCTTAAATCATCCTTAGGATGAATCAAATTAAAAAAATACAATATGCACCCATTTATATGAAAAAAATTAACTCTATGAAAAAATTACACCTTGTACATGCATATTTTCTCTATGTAATTCATCATGCACACAACCCATGCATGATTATCTATACCCACTTCTTGACAACACACACCATTTCCACTGAAAACTTCGTGCAACAATCGCATTTGTGAATTGTCTTGGCCAATTCATAAAAACTTCATGTGCAAAGCTTGCTACAAACCCAAATTGTTTATCAAACCAAATTTATCACAACGTACTGTTTCTTGATAGAACAAATGACTTGACTGAATTGTTGTGTTCGTAGACGTAAACTCTTGAAATCACGCTAGAAAGTAGAATTTGTACACTTAAAATAACTGAAGTGAAACTCTATAATTGCCAGCGCAAGTTTTTGCATTTATTAGTACAATTTCAATCAAATTCGCATCCATAATTTTATTACATCAATGCATCGAATTTTCTCCACTGTGCAGCTTTTAGAACGTATTATTGATTTACTCAACAGAATCCTGTATTTCGAAGATCACAACGATTGCGGCAACAAAATTATTTCTTGGTTGAAAGCAACTTCAGACAATATCAAAATAAAATTCAATGTGCAACAAATCTACACTAAACGACGCAAGCAAATGCTTATTGGAAAATAGTCTTTACTTGTTTAAATGTGCAAAACAGCTGATTCAGACTGAAAACCCTTGTAGTGAAAGGCTTTTCCTACAAGATGAGAAGCCTATTAAATTCTACATCTAGATATTCATTTAATTATTTAGCAGCTGGCGCAACACATACTGCAGGATTCCCCCATGTTCAAAGTAGGTCAGCTCAACTTGGGTATCGAAGCGCAGCACACAAGTAAATTCTCTGTCGTCAGCCCTTACGGTAATGTCCATGCCAGGTTTGACATCCTTCAAATCAGGCATATCTATGGTGTACCTCTCAAAACCAGTCAAACCCAGAGAATCAGCATCCTCGCCGTTCCGGAAGCATAGAGGAATCAGCCCCATACCAACCAAGTTGCTACGATGAATGCGCTCAAAACTCTTCGCAATTACGGCTTTGACACCCTGCAAGTAAGAAAGCAAAAAGTGAACATTTATTTCATTCCGAAAGAATAAAAAAAGAGGGAGAAAATACGTAATGAACAATTAAGCCGTGAGCAAATTTATTTTCCTATCCTGACCAATGACACGATACACACTGCTGACATTCTTTATGCCTCACCTGCAGATAGGGACCCTTCGCAGCCCAGTCTCGAGAACTACCACTGCCGTACTCCGCTCCTGCGAGGATGATTGTATCGTGACCCTCTGCCTTGTATTTCTGCAATGCCGAATTTCCCACATTACCCGTCTTGTCCTCTGTCCATATAACGTATCGAAAATGAACACAACCGGGTGCACACAGGAGCACAGTTAGTCTCTTACCTGCGCAGCATCGTAAATGAACATTTTCTCCTGTGTTGGAACATGCAGAGTCTTTGGCCCAACTTCGCCTTTCAGGAATTTGTTGACAATCCGAATGTTGGCAAATGTCCCTCTACCCATTATTTCATCATTGCCACGTCTACTTCCATAAGAGTTAAAATCCCTTCGATCAACTCCACGTTCCATGAGGTACCTCGCAGCAGGACTGTCTTTGTTGATGTTACCAGCTGGAGAAATATGATCCGTGGTGATACTATCTCCGAAATTCAGAAGGCAGTATGCATCCTTGACACTCCGACCACCAGGTGGATCCTTCGTCATGGTCTTGAAAAATGGAGGATCGTGCACGTAAGTCGATTTTGGGTCCCATGCGTATTGAGATCCTGCAGGAGCCTCCAACTTGTTCCACATCGTATTGCCTTCTGTAATAGCTTTGTACGTTGATCGAAACATGTCCGGTAAGACGGCATTTGCGACAACCTGACCAGATGTTCGAATGTCAGTCCATGACAATATCGTAACACTACCAAAAATATTCAAAAGTGCAATCGAGATCCATGCACCAGATCCTATACGTAAAATAATCCTGATTGCAAAAACAACAGGATCGAGAAATTGTCTGTCAATTTACCTCCGCAACCTCATCGCTAGAGGGCCAGATATCTCTCAAAAAGACATTCTTCCCGTCCTTGCCCAATCCAATAGGCTCCGTTTCGAAATCAATGTTCACCTACAAGCCGAAACCCAACGACGAAAAAATAAATTTCCTTGATAACTTACCCAACGTTTCTGAAGTCTTTGATATATATAAATTGAGCTCTACTCAAAACCCAGCCAACAACACAGATTCTAAGCTCATACCGTTCCAGCAAATGCATAGGCCACAACCAAAGGTGGCGAGGCGAGGTAGTTGGCACGAGTCAAGGGATGAACACGCCCCTCAAAATTTCGGTTACCAGACAGCACAGCAGCAGCAACCACATCTGTACAACATACAGCACATCGTATCAACAATTACAACATCACGTAACTGAACATATATCCTTCAACTAGAAGAGGAATAATATTACCTTTCGTGACTTTCGAGTTCAACTAGAAGAGGAATAATATTGCTAGACTGAAACATAGGTATTTAAAACTAAGAACTTTGTTGATAGGTTACACAACTTACAGCGACAACTAGAAATAATCCCACAACAAAAGTGCGACAAATCAAAAGCATACCATTAGCTGCAATGGCTTCAGAAACATCTTCATGAAGATCGCCAGAGTTGCCAATGCAAGTCGTGCAACCATAACCCACCACACTAAAACCTTGCTGATCGAGATACTTGTTCAAGCCGCTGCCAGGTGACATAAAGACGAAATACACTGATCAGAGAAATAATGTGATGGCAGGTAATCGTAAACATGCGAGAGCAGTAGCACAAACCCACTCAAAACTAAAGACAAGGACAATGACAATGAAATGACACACAATAGCAACACGCACACACAAACACTAGATGATTCTAGTATATGTAACGAATTTTAGAAAACCTTGACGAGTCATTTATAACACGATATAAGCCTGGACTACTATTACCTTTCGTGAAGGTACTTCGTAACTACCCCCGAACCTGGTGCCAGACTGGTCTTAACCCATGGCTTGACCTGTCAAAAGGCAAACATAGAAGGGTCAGCCAATGAAACCATCTTGCAGCATGTAGACAGATTCTCTGAAAAAACATTTCAGAACCAACTAAGAATAATTAAAACCGCACAAGCCAAAGCAATCAGGCCAATTTGAAAACAGAATATGCTCTCACATTCATGAGAAAAATCAACGCAGCCACTGACCTCTAGTCCAAGTTCAGTCGCTTTCTTTGCAACGAGACCAGCACCAAGCATAACACTGGGGTTGGATGTATTGGTACAACTTGTGATGGCGGCAATGACCACGCTGCCGTGCCTCAACTCCGCAGGCTTCCCTTCATACGTGAATTTTACCACCTTGTCTTGTTGTTCTTTGGGAATAGCAAATCCCTTAACACAAAGAACGGACATGCTGAATCAGCTACTACTTACAAATTTTCCCCAAAGGATGTTGCTAGACTTACGGGTGTTAGCAAATTTAGACAAAGCATATGATATTTACCTTGAATCCAACCTTGTTGTCCAGACAGGCTTGCCAATCCTGTTTCATATCCTTCAGAGTGACGCGATCGTGCGGCCTGCAACACGAAACGGAATGATGGATTCCTTAATGATCATCATAGAAGCGTATACAATGAAGATAAACATGTTCCAGGTAGTACATGTTATAGAAGACAATGCAACCAGTTATTGATATAACATCATGTCAAAAGTAATCGTAACAAGAACACCCACAAATAGTTATCACACACCTTTTTGGGCCAGAAATACATGGCTCGACAGTGTCAAGATCTAACTCCAAGTGGCCTGAGTATGTGTTGTCTTTCTGAGGATGCGATGAGAAAAGAAGAAAGACGAGAGCAGTCAGCACCAAGTATGAGATTTAAAACAATATCGTTTTAGCATCGTTTTACGTAAACAGAGTAAATGCCATAGACAAAATTCCAGCTTACTTGTAGACTACAAACCCACACCATTATAAACCATACTAGTAAAAATATCATAAATTGAACAAAGCTGACCTTCTCATGGTCAACGAACAAGTTGTTCGCCCGCAGATAAGCTTCAATCTCTTCGACCTGGTGAATCAAATCGCGAGAAAACACACATGTGAGCTTACCCTTCGCTTCACAACAGCAAGAAATTGCACTGAAGATGAAAACAGATATTGTAATTAAGTCCATTTGTCCTTCCAGTAAGCTCAAATACACGTGGAATCGAACTTAAAGAAAATTTCTCACCCTCTCCTCATCTCGTCCGGTCATTCTTAAATAATCGAGTGTAACACGATCAACTGGAAAGAAACCCATGGTGGCACCGTACTCCGGAGACATGTTTGCGATCGTTGCCCTATCGGCCAGGGTTAGCTCTGACATCCCCTTCCCTAACCAAGCAGAAAAACAAACCTCAACATGTTGCACAAAATTCACGACCCAGATCATAAACTAAGAGGAGGGATAAAGCAAACCCGCAAACCAAGAAAATCTACAACGACGACCACGACGACGGCAGCAGATACATACCATAAAACTCCACAAACTTCCCAACCACGCCAAATTTCCTCAGCATTTGAGTTACAGTCAACACAAGATCGGTGGCTGTCACTCCAGTGCGTAGCTTGCCGTTCAGCTTGAATCCCACAACACCAGGCAGAACCATGCTCATGGGCTGCATCAGACGCACATTGCTTTAGTCAAATCCATCCCACATCATCCTTGCAAGCCGTTTCATCTCCCCACCGCTACTGCGATAAATCAATCCTCATAATAGCAGTCGCTATATACCCCAACTAGGCTTGGAAACCAACATGCCGGGCGTAGAACTCTCTAACCTGACCAAGCATGGCTGCTTCGGCTTCGATTCCCCCAACTCCCCAACCCGCTACACCGAGACCATCAATCATAGTGGTGTGCGAATCTGTCCCCACAAGAGTGTCGGGATAGAGGATGCCGTTGCTGTTAAATACAACTCGGGCCAGATACTCCAGGTTGACCTGTAAAACCCAAAACATTCGTCAAGTAAGCCTCACACACCACAGCACACGTTGCAGTCTTAAAACTTCTCAGGCTAGCAATATACAAACTTACAGACCTACAACTGACATACGAACCTGGTGCACGATCCCAGAGCCTGGAGGAACCACAAGCATGTTCTTGAAAGCTGTAGCTCCCCACTTCAGAAAACCAAACCGTTCCTTGTTGCGACTGAACTCCAACTCCATGTTAGCCTGAAGGGCGTTGGGAGAACGGGCAACATCAACCTGCACTGAATGATCGATGACAAGATCCACAGGTACCTGGTCCGATAAAGGGCACACCCAACTAATTACTTTATTGCAGATGATTGTGTTCGCGCCCATATACGTCCACTTTTTTATTTAAGGCAGCATGAGCTATACCCGACTTCCAAACAAGAACTCGATCAAGTAAACAATAAACACGACGACGCGCAGCAATGTAACACAAAAAACATGTAGCGTGAGTAAAGCACAGTAACTCTTGCACGCTAAAAGGTTATGACCCGACTTCCTAGTCGCTGCATCAAGCATAAGAAATATTTTCAAATCATTCTAAATTCATTTAACCACGCATTAAGAGAGGAAAAGACAAATATTACGTCGCCCTAATTACGTTCGAACGTATCTTTATGCGGGCGTCCAGAAGTGTAAATGAAAGAATGTGATACCACTTAGGAGAGAGAGAGAGAGAGAGAGAGAGAGAGAGAGATAAGAAATAACAAAAGTAAACAAATAAATAAATAAAATAGAGATACAGCTACTTAGACTAGAAAGTACGTATTTACCAGAGGATTGATCTTGTCAGGATCGCCACCTAAGCGCTCAATAGCATCACGCATAGCTGCAAGATCAACTACGGCGGGTACTCCAGTGAAGTCCTGAAATGAGGAATAAATCAGTCAATAGTGATCGTAGCACCAACTCTGTTGTTGTGATTAACTGGTTCATAAAATCCTACGAGCAAGAGAAGAAACCCGAGCCAAAAATCAAATCAAACTTAATAAAAGGCAAATAAACAAACAAACAAACAAACAAACAAACAAACAGAAAGCACTTTCAATACTCATTTCGGCGAATAAGTGAACGAGCAATGCGACGAAAAAGAAGCAGGTAAATATAGTGATTTGAGGAACCTGGAGAATAACTCGTGCAGGCTTGAACGGAATTTCGACTTGCTTAGGAGCAGTCACCTTCCAGTCCAAAATCTTCTCAACATCAGCTTCCAGAACCTGGAAATTATCGCAGTTGCGAATCGCCGATTCCAACAAATATCTAATAGAGTACGGCAGTTCATCTGCGCATACCGTGCAGGGTGAAGATTAGAGGTTTCGCGGTTTTATTTTAAGTCTTGCCCATTTTTAAAGCAATGCCTACGTGAAGCGACAAACTACCACCTCCCTGTAGAGTGAACTGTCTGCAGAAAATCCAGTCGAAATTAAGAGCGTGCTGCAGCAACCTCGCCCAATCCAATCCCATCCAATCAAAATCCCAGTCCTGCAGACTACGAGACTGAAGCCAGAGACCTGAATGGCGGATTACTCTTACCAACTCTAGGATCGTTCAGTTTAACAAGGCTGTAGTACTGGCCATAACTGCCTCCGGATGCCTTAGGCAGATCCGTCACCAGGTTCGAAAATGGGTTCTTGGATGCTGCATCAAAACAGAAAAATCAAAACGAAACAAAAATATCTAGTTAGATATTATGTATACTATGTACAGGAGAAAAAATAAATAAAAAGTACAGAGCGAATCGGTTCGGTAGGAGGCAAGAGAGAACCCATGAAGAGAGAGAGAGAGAAGGCGATGCAAGGGGAAGGGAGGAGGATGCACCTGGGGAGGAAGCCATGGTGGAGGGGAAGGGGAGAGGAGAGGGGGGGGGGGGAGAGAGAAGCAGAATGAGAATGGTGACGGAATGGAAGGAGGCAGGGCATAAGAATTTGAGTGAGGAGAGGAAATGCGGTAGGGACCGCGGTGGTGCATGCGAGGAAAGCGGGGGGGCAAAACGGCGTGGATGAGAGCCAGAATGGAGTAGCGGCAGCATAGGTAGGGCACCCTACTACCCCTACGCTCCCAGTGCAGACCATACCATACCCTACCAGACTCTACCCTAGCTTTGCCCTCTCGTGCCGTGCCCAGCACAGGCGAGATACATATGCGAGGCTGACTTGGCGGGCAACTACGTGATGCGAAGCACGCAATAGCATCGTCACAGAAGCAAAGCCCCAGAAGGCGACAACTCAGGCGGCCGATGGAGCTGCTGCATCAGAAGTCGAGGTGGACGAGGTGGGCTGCATCGCCCCCCATCCACCAACAGGCAGTGCAGTCCAGTGCAATGCCTCCATTGGTTGCTTGTCCCCCCCCCCCCCACGGACTCTCACTCTTTCCCTCCCTACCCCTTTGTCTTTCCTTCCTTCCTTCCTTCCTCCTCTCTTTCTCTTCTTCTTCACACAACCAGGCTAGCCTCGTCATCTTGATTGGGATAGAAATTGAACTTGACCAATTCCCATGTACATCTTGCGGTGGTAACCCTGCTGATAATGCTTCTTCTGCATCCCAACTGACTCCCTTTCTTTATTAAATATGTAAATTATATTGATCATATATATATATATATATATATACATATACACTTTTGTTACATCAATGCATCAATTATGTGCCCATCTCTTGCATAAAACAGCTTAAGGGATAAACTAAAGGATACAAAAAAACCATCTCTAGTTGGTTGCATATTTCATTGTTTTTTTCAAAAGTAAAGCTAAAGTGAAGCAATAACTCAACTTTTGATCAAAATCTATTTATTGTTGCTGCAAATTGCCAAGAGCAATACTATAAGATCATTAGTCATGTAATTATTTTGCAAATTAAACTTTTATACCTTTTTTGTAGCCATTAACATGGATTTCAATTAGTTTGTTATATATTAGCAAAAATATGTGTCATCTATTATATAAAATAGTTTAAACATAAGATAAAGAAATCAAAAAGTATTCCTATTAAATGAATAAGGGAATGGATAGATAATAATGTTGAAGATTGTGGTATCTAACAATAAGGATTTTTTCTATCTTTTTAAAAAATAACTCTTATTAATTTTGATTGATCTTTTAATTTGGAGCTTGATGTCACTCATAAATATGGAGATGATTCATTTTTTTTTATTTATATTCTCCCATTTTAAATATGTATATGTATATATAAATAAGTAGATTAATAAAAAAAATTAAAAGTTAATCAAAATAAAGGCTATTTATGATTTTTTTCTTATTATATCTTTAGACTTTATATGTTAGATTAAACTTTTATCTATAATCATATAAATATAGATACATAAAAATTAGTATTACTTTTTTATTTATTAAAAGTTTTTATTTCAAACTTATATCATTAACAATCTTCTTATTTTTTAATTTAAATTTTGGTTAATTTATTCTTTAAATTGTATAAAATGATTAATTACTAAAACTTATAGTTTGAAAAAAAATAGATAAATAGATTTCTTTAAATACTAATTTCTTACTTTTCTTATAAAAAAATATTACATAATCAATACAAAAAATTATTTGGAATGCATATGTTAAATATGAATAAATTTAAATTATGAATTTAAATTACAAGTCCATATCAAAACAAAAAGATATATATTACCTTATACAAGATTCTTTTGATGAATACAAGGTCTAAAATACTTCATCTAAAATATTGAGATAAGAAAATATACAAATTTTGGTGTAATATTATAAAATATATTTGTATTTAAAATTAATTAATTAATTAAAAACATATTTTTGTATGAACTATCAAAAAAGATGACACTATAGAAATAAATTATCTAAGAATTTTTTATAGGTCATAAAAGATTATCTATTCATAGAAGAATTTATCATCATCTATATATATATGAAAGATGTGAATTTTAAAGAAATGTAAGATAATCTTATGTCACTCAAAAAAAATTAAATAGTCACTCCAAGTTTATATAACATTAAATTAGAATTGCTATTGCAAAAAATAAAAAGATTGAAAAGTCTTGAAACAAGACTAAGGATTGAAAAGGTGTTAATATGAATGAAGAAGGCTTCATTCTCACCTCCATATATATTATGTAACTAAAAATTATATAGTGACATTTTGTAGGACCTCCTATACATGTCCAAATTATAAGACATATGTCTTAACTTACAAGGCAAGTTTTCTATGTATGTACCATGTTGCTAGCTTATTCTACAAGTTATCAATATGTGTGATGTGTGGCTAATTTTTTGACCAAGTTTCTAATCTATAAACAAGTATAAAGTCAAAGTTACATCTAGAAGCTTATCTAGAAGTTATTATAAAATTAATTTATTTTTTTAGCTATTTCTACTTTATCATATAGATACTTACTAGAATAAATATGTATATCTATAATATTATCTCCACTTCTAGAAATGAATTCCATGAAGAACACTCATCATATATTGAAAAAATCTAAGATGCTTCAAATTGTATTTATTACATACTTTAATATTTCTTCTATTTGAAGATGGTTGATAAGTTCTCTCAGCTATCGATAGTATCTCACATGAAGGCTAGAAGATCATCCTATTATATGATTATTGTTGATGCCTTCATAACACCTTTCAAATAAAACATTTGGAACATGGTTAGGAGTCATTTCTACCTTTAATAAAATCACCAAACATCAAGAGTTTCTTCCAAAGTTGTGATACCAAATACATTGTATCTTGCCATTTATTCCAAGAAGTACATGTCATTCTTAAGGATATTCATTTCAATTACATCGTCTTAAAGATTGTGGCAATCATAGTATCTTATCTAATAAGTCAACAAATAAAAGCTCTTAAATTAAATGTGTTAGTTATTAATTTTTTTTTTTTTTTTTTTTTTTTTTTTCCTTCTTAGCACTACAAATACACAAAAATTAATAAGAAGGATAGGAGTTAGAATGCTATCTTTCATAGATCTTATTTCTTTTATAGCAAAAATTTACTATTATTCATCTTGATTTTGATAGATGTAGTTGATGAAAAGTGTTAATCTTCTTTACTATATTTATAAGATTCTTTAATGGCTTCTATATGCATTCACTAATATCATATCCACACCAATGAATAAGATATTATAATTTATTTCCACGTCTCTTAGAATCTAAGACTTCTTCCACTTCAAACTATTGATTATTATCCATTTCGATAAGTAGTAGTAATATTTGTCTTCTTCTTGAGATAGCTACTGTCTTATATAGCTTAGGAAGAGTCATGTCGAATACAAGATGGATCTTCTTAGACTCTAATAGATGTAATCTATAAGCAATAAGTTTGACTTGTTTACAAATAAAAAATGGTCCAAGCGTACAATAATCTAACTTATTACAAGAGCAACTAGACCTATTAATATGACAAAGTAGCCATATCTTGTTGCTAACATGGAATTGAGGTTGCTTCTTACGATAGACATCTGTGTTGGTATTTTGTTATTTTTGATCATCTTTTAATTATACCATCATTGTTGTATATAACTTAAATAAATGATTCATCAAATCTTCTACCGTAGGATTATTAAGTTTAAAAAAATTAAAATTATGAAATCATGGATGATAACCACAATTAATAAAAAAAGGTCTTTATTGCATAGAATAATGTATAATATTATTATAAGCAAATTTTATCAATGGCAATAAAGTTGTTCAATCATCTTATTAATAATTGATGGTACACCTTAAATACTGCTCAAAAATTTGATTTCATGCCTTGTTTGTCTATTAATTTGAGGATAAAATATAAAATAGTTCTATATCTATCTTTAGAATCTTAAAAGAAGTTTTTAAAATCTTGATACGAATTAAATTCTTTTATTTAATATAATATCTTTGAATAATCCATGATCACAATAAATGTGTCACGAACATACTCATATAAGCTAGTAGTTACATATACAAATAGGTGGAAGTAAGTAAAAGTAGGTAAAAGTAAGTTAATTCTATAGTATTTAATATAGAAGCTTCCTAGAAGCTTCATAGACGCTGCTTTGACTTCATAGGTGTCATTAATTGACTTTTTGGATTAGAAACGTGGTCAACAAGTTGGCCATGTACCACACATGTTGTTAGCTTGAAGATCAAGCTAACTATGTGGCCTACATATAGAAAAACTTGCCTTGTAAGTCAAGGCATGTGTCCTACAAAGTCAACACATATTGGAGGTTCTATAGAACATCGCCACGTAGCCCATAGTTAGATAATATATATAGAGACAAGAGTGAAGCCCTCTTCACTCTTGTCAACTCCTTTCTTGCTTCTAGTCTAGTTTCAAGGGTTTCTAGTTTTCTTGTCTTTTGGCAATAGCCATTCCAATTTCTCTTTCAATATACATACTTGTTTATTTATATTTTGTTAACTTTCTTTGAGTGAAGGCTCACTTGTCTGAATTTCTTTTTTATCAAATTCTTGTCCTTGACAGATTGACAAGAGTACACCTACAATATCAGAGCTTTGTCTAATCTTGATTAAGAGTGGATTTCTCCTTTTTCTTCATAAGATATAAGCATATTAGAAGTTGCGGATTACCCTCTTCTAAACTGATATTGTCCTTAGTATTTTCTTTGTTCTCAAGTCCTCTCTTCTATTTGTCTTGAGCGATATTAGACACCTTCTCTTTTCTAAGTGATATCATGGCAAAACTTGTTGAAATGAAGAGTGCAATGGCACAAATGTAAGAGCAATTGAGAGAGTTAATGCTTGTGATGGATCAACTCAATTTACCACCACAAAGAGTAACAAGATTGGCAGGAAGTGAAGATATAGAAATAGTTGGAGCTGCTTCAACATCTACACCAAATCATGTCCTTTCTCCTATGGTAGAACGCCCTTCCAGTGTTAGAGAACCAAGAATTATCCTACCCGAGAAGTTTGATGGCACCAGATTCAAGTTTTGAAGATTTATCAATCAAGTGCAACTTGTGATTGAATTTCAACCCCAAAGCTATC